GTCCTTTCTGGACGGGGGGCCCACTCTAGCTAATAGGGCAACACTTTTGAACACACAGTCATAGTACGGCTGTATAGATGACGTATGTATAAATATTGTATATGGCATTTTATACTGCATTATCTTCATTATATATGAACACAGCTTACCATAGGTTGTAGTTACGAAAGTATGAATGAAATACACACTTCAAGCCACCCAGTAGAGTCCACTAACGTTTACAGCGCTTGTGTGTGTGTATAGACCCGATCTTCCCATCTTTCGCGTAACTATATGAAAAATCGTGTTTAAATTTAACTACGCATATATTTCGAAACCTTCAAATTCCATGTGGATCAGTCCGCCTCCTCATTTGTACACTTATAGTGTAATGCTGACCATCCACCTGCGCAGAGGCCCACGGTAACTCTCACCGGGGCAACATACGCACGACACACAGAAGTTATGATATAGACCTTTGACTTCACTGCTCATTTATCATGTTATGTTCATCGTGCTCATATTTTATTAACTAGTCGCCGTATCAATACATGACAGTGTTATTAGTATAATATTGTAACTTTTACCCTACAGTTATTGTTGCCGTCATGGACAGGAAGGATACATAAATTTAAAACTCTTGTTAAAGAATCAATACCACTTCCCCAGCGGCTAGTAAGCTAATAAGGGCTAAAAATATACAACAAAAAATAAATACAAACAGGAGTACAGGACCACCATGAGGAGTGAGCAGGACTCTTAACCACTGAGCACAGGAGTACAGGACCACCATGAGGAGTGAGCAGGACTCTTAACCACTGAGCAATAGGAGTACAGTGACCACCATGAGGAGTAGCAGGACTTAACCACTGGGAGCACAGGAGTACAGGGACCACTATGAGGAGGAGCAGGACTTCTTAACCACTGAGCACAGGAGTAACAGGGACCACTGGGCGAGGAGGAGCAGACTTAACCACTGAGCACAGGAGTACAGGACCACCAGAGGGAGTGAGCAGGACTCTTAACCACTGAGCACAGAGTACAGGACCGACTGTGAGGAGTGAGCAGGACTTCAACCACTGAGCACACAGGGAGTACAGGACCACTGCGAGGAGTGAGCAGGACTCTCTAACCACTGAGCACAGGAGCATAGGACCACCATGAGGAGTGAGCAGGACTTAACCACTGAGCACAGGAGTACACACCTTCTCAAATTAAGTGAGGAGGCAGCAGGACTTTAACCACTGAGCACAGGAGTACAGGACTACCATGAGGAGTGAGCAGGACTCTTAACCACTGAGCACAGGAGTACAGGACCACCATGAGGAGTGAGCAGGACTCTTAACCACTGAGCACAGGAGTACAGGACCACCATGAGGAGTGAGCAGGACTCTTAACCACTGAGCCATGACAGACTTACAGTTATTACACCTTAACGTCATTCTTAAAGCTCAAGAAGCTGCATTAAAATTGGTCCACTCTGTATCTATATTTTTCTGGTTAAATAAACTGTTTCAGTATCAAGTGTGGACGAGCTGCTCTAATCCTGCGGCTCACAGAGTTTTGGCAGTGCATATTACCTATAAGAGAAGAATAAAGATTAAATTATATTTTGTATGCTGTGGTTCAATTGTTAAGGCTCTTACTTGACATTATAAGGGTCCGTGTTTGATTCCCGGCCTTTTTCGTTTTTCCTTTTTTTTATTGTTTTTTTTCTTTATAGGCACTCCCTGGGACACTCTGGCACTCCCTGGGACACTCTGGCACTCCTGGGACACTCTGGCACTCCTGGACACTCGGCACTCCTGGGACACTCCATGGGACACTCACCCTGGGACACTCTGGCACCCCTGGGACACTCTGGCACTCCTGGGACACTCTGGCACTACCCTGGGACACTGACACTACCTGAAACACTCTGGCACTCCCTGGGACACTCTGGCACTCCATGGGACACTCTGGCACTCCATGGGACACTCTGGCACCCCTGGGACACTCTGGCACACCCTGGGGGGGACACTCTGGCACTACCCTGGGACACTGACACTACCTGAAACACACACTCCTGGGACACTATGGGACACTCTGGCACTGGGACACTCTGGCACTCCCTGGGACACTCCACACTCCCACTCTGGGACACTCACACTGGGACACTCTTGGGGCTGGGACACTCTGGCACTCCTGGGACACTCTGACACACACTCTGGCACTCCCTGGGACACTCTGGCACACTCTGGCACTCCCTGGGACACTCTGGCACTCCTGGGACACTCTGGCACTACCTCTGGGACACTGACACTACCTGAAACACTCTGGCACTCCTGGGACACTCTGGCAATACTCTGCACTCCTGGGACACTCTGGCACTCCCAGGACACTCTGGCACTCCTGGGACACTCTGGCACTCCCTGGGACACTCTGGCACTCCTGGGACACTCTGGCAGTACCCTGGGACACTGGCACTCCCTGGGACACTCTAACACTGGGACACTCTGGCACTCCTGTGACATAGTGGGGGTAGGAGGAAGGAGGAGGACAGTGGTTAGGGAGGAGCACAGAAGGGAGGAGGAGCACAGGAGAAGGAGGAAAACAGAGGGAGGAGGAGGACAGGGATAGGAGGAGGAGTACATGGGGAGGAGGAGAAGCACAGGGGAGGAGGAGGAGCAGCACAAGGGAGGCGGAGGAGGAGCACAGGGGAGGAGGGAGGACAGAGGGAGGAGGACAGGGAGAAGGAGCACAGGGGAGGAGGGAGGAGTACAGGGGGAGGAACACAGAGGGAGGAGAAAGAGAGCATAGGGGAGGAGGAGGAAGAGCACAGGGGGAGGCGGAGGAAGAGTGTGGGGTACAGGTTGTTGGGTTCACTCTCAGGATGATATGGAGAAAGGAAACTCACAATGTGCTCTCTGTATACATGTTGTATTGGATGTACAATGCAGCTTGGCGCTGGGAAGTGGCAGTGTGGTTACAAGCGTGATGTAGAGAGAGCTGGTTGGTGAGGGTGCTCAGAGGAGAACAAGCTTGTGGGTCACCATGCTCGCCGGCGGGAGCGAGGGCCGCCAGGCAGCGGCGAAGGAGGTGGTGTTGCTTGCTGCGGTTGTAGCTAGAAGAAGAGGGCAGTCACCACGAGGTCAGGTCTTAAATAGCGGAGGTAGGCGTGGCTTAGTAGTTGACCTCCGTCATGTATGGCGGCGCTGGTTGACCTAGACCACGAGGCATACACTGGGGAATTCGCAGGATCAGCTACTCAGCGACAAATAGCGTTTGTACGGGAGAAATCCACTACAATACTCCTTCCTTCCCTTAAGGCAGGTACAGAGTCGTCAGATGCGCCTGCTGGGGTGTGTGGGCCTGGGTCAGGAGCAGGGGCTGCGTCAGCAGAAGCGGATAAGGGCTCGTGACAGCAGCTGGGTCCACGACAGCAGCAGGGTGCAGGACAGTAGCAGGGAGTACCTGAGGGAGAAAAGAGGGGTGTGTGGGTCCGCGTCAGGAGGAGCGGCAGGGGGTACTGCTGGGCCGGGGCGGCGTCTGAGGCAGGACAGGTGTGTTGGGGTCGGTAGGACGTGGTGCTTGGGGCAGGAAGAGGAGCTGGTGTCTGCTTAGAGAAGCAGAGCTGCTCGAGGGTGTCTAACCTGCGGTGTAGAGACAGTAGCTGTAGAGCCGATAAGAGCTGCTTCTGGGTGGATAAGCCAGTCTTCCATGTTGCTTGAAGACTGGGAGCGTGATCTGTTTCTCCTCCATCCTGTGTGAGTGGTCACTCCGGGGTCACCATTTGTGGGGTACGGGTTGCTGGGTTCACTCTCAGGATGATATGGAGAAAGGAAACTCACAATGTGCTCTCTGTATACATGTTGTATTGGATGTACAATGCAGCTTGGCGCTGGGAAGTGGCAGTGTGGTTACAAGCGTGATGTAGAGAGAGCTGGTTGGTGAGGATGCTCAGAGGAGAACAAGCTTGTGGGTCACCATGCTCGCCGGTGGGAGCGAGGGCCGCCAGGCAGCGGCGGAGGAGGTGGTGTTGCTTGCTGCGGCTGTAGCTAGGAGAAGAGGGCAGTCATCACGAGGTCAGGTCTTAAATAGCGGAGGTAGGCGTGGCTTAGTAGTTGACCTCCGTCATGTAAGGCGACGCTGGTTGACCTAGACCACGAGGCATACACTTGGGAATTCGCGGGATCGGCTACTCAGCGACAATCAGCATTTGTAGGGGAGAAATCCACTACAATAGCACAGGGGGAGGGGGTAGAGAGGAGCACAGGAGGAGGAGGAGGAGCACTATCTGATGAGGTCACCACGAACATGGCTGGTGACCCATAATCTTTTACCAAAGAAAATGATTGACTTAAATTTATCTTAATTTAGTCTATGGCTACAAATTGAAAACTATAAAAGTGAAAAACAATGTGAAGAAGGTGAGGTGTTAGGGGAGGGATGTTAAATATTCCATTAATTACACCAATTGCATAGCTATTTTTTTCAGGGAGAATAAATGCTTCGGTTTTTGTTGCTAGAAGGCCCTCTGGTCTTTCTTGATTTTTATGCCACTTCCTCGCACTGTTTTTTATCCTGTTTCTTTAAAAAATATTTCCTCTTATTTTCTTCCTGCTGCAACCTCTTCTGCTTTAACTTGCTTCTATACCTACTGCTGGCAAGGTTTATGTTCCTACACATCATAGGGTCCCTCTCCTGGGTGACACACAGTGCAGTACAGTATGTGGAAAACAGAGATAAGCACTTTGCACAATCAGGCAGACAGTAAAAAAAAATACCTGTCATGATGCTTGTTAGCCACTTGGGCAGTTGGTAAAAGAGGTGACTGACCGCCCAAGTGGGTAACGAGCCGATCAGTGACGAAGAGTAACACTGCATCACATCACACATTATGAGAGGTGTGCCTGTACAGGACTGTGCTGTATAAAGGAGATTGATACAGTTATCAGTAGGAATGGTTTTAATAAGGCACCCTTTGAGGAATCACACATGTAGGGTTTTAATGTATTGTGGGCAGAACAATTTACCCAGCCATACAGTGTCATCCCTTCACACTGGAAAACAATTGGTTAATTCAATTTAACACACAACAAATGCACCACACAACTCTGGAAATACTTTACACGTTTCATTCACTCGTTCTAATCTACAGTTTTTATAATTATATTGATGTATACAGTATGTTCATATGAAATTATGTTCATATTTATACAGGGGATTATTTTCAATATACCTGTACATCGTTTACTAAATTTATACATAAGTAAATAATAAAAAAAAAATCTTGTACAAGGTAATTGATTTTATTCTAGAACCCTAAATGATTACTATTGTATTCCAGGATGTGTAATTACCAGGAACCTTAGATGTTTTTCATAATGTTCAGACTTTACCCCTACAGATTTTCAGGTTCCTGTTTACTGCACATCTTAAAATACATTAGTAATCATTTAGGGTTCTCAAGTAAAGGAAAAAAATGAACCCTGTATTTAACTGCTAAGAATAAATAGTAGGAGAGCCCAAACTCTTATTCTAATACATTTGAGCAGCATGTCCATAAATAGTTGCTTTATGCCTTTCATTCAGAAGTAAGGTTTGTTTTTCTCAATTTGTCTCGAAACTAAACTAATGGAAAATAATTTAACCTTAACATACTGGTATATAAAATTTCTAGGTCCTCAAACTCATATGCTTGTAGATTAAACCATGTGGTGACTGAACATATACTGTATTTTGCTACCTGTACCTGTACTTAAATGGAATTACTGTATATTTGATAATCTACTCCTGTTTTTATTATATAGAAATCATAAATAATCAACCAAGTTCTCCTTCACAAAGAGTAAAATAAATAACATAAACACAAGGAAATTTATATAATGGATAACTTTTGGGGATGTACCTCTTTGTTTTCTCTAGGTGACAGATACATAGTTTGACCGCAGTTCTTCGAGTCATGATGTACGATAAACAAAGAGTTGCTTAACATCATTCATCATGAGAGAGAGAGAGAGAGAGAGAATATATGTGTGTGTGTGTGTGTGTGTTTAAGACTATCACCCAACAGTAATCTACATAACAATCTGGTATTTATTCAGGAGCTTTTAAGTTTATGTCTATACTATCTAAAAACAAGTGAGGGATTTCTTTTACATAATGGGTAAAGTATGTGTGAGTAAGTGTGTGTGTATATATATGGTTTCAGACCCATTCTGTTTCTCTTTACACCCATTTTATAACACTTAACCCCCCCCATATTCTTTAATGTCTCAGTAACCCATGATTCATCCAGCACAAAAGTGTACTTTTCTTCAGAATCAGGAGGATAGAATTCATAGATAGCAATTCAGGAAAAATCTATATCATGTGTTGGATATTCTTTTTGTTTTATCTATTGACAAATCAGCTACAAAATGCTTACTGCACTTAATTAATGTATTATGTATTGTAAACTAATACAGCATTACACCAACAGGTCGACTGTACCTTAATCTACAATAATTCTATTTAAATTTTTTTATTATTTTGTGATAGTAAAAATTTAAGTTTTATTTCTAGTTAAGATTTTTCTGTTTAATTAAAAAAAAATGTAGAATATATGTAATTACTCATTATACATAAAGAACTTGATTGTTATATGTTTCAAGCAGTTTGACTGGTTACAAAAATGGGAAAACATATATGTAGATACCAGAGACAAAATGCTGTATCTTAAATTAGATTTCACGTATACTGTATAAGGAATTGTAGACATTAAAGCCTATCTAGTAATATAAAGATGCAAAGAACCTGCATGTTTCCTTAATAACAATTTATCTTACGGCCGAGAGAGTTCCGGAGTAATTCAAATGGGTATCTGGACAATGGGTGCATCTGTCATAGCAGCAAGAACCAATACAAAATATAGAAGTTAGGAATATATGTACAGTATATCATACCAGTAACTCCTTCATTTCTGAGATAACCAAACCAGTGAGCAGAATTTATATACAAAAATTAATCTCTGCTGCTGGGTGTTCAATGTGAGTGTGTGTCGAGGCAAAAGATGAATTCGGATTTTGGAAATGGCTGTCTGTCAACCTACTACATTTGTGTGTGGCAAATGGTACAGTAAATAGATGGAGGGACATCTAGCAATGAAGGAGGAAATTAACACACTACTGGTAACCACTTTTGAAGACTGGCATATAAGCAACAATTTACCTGATGATTTACAATATGATTACACAGTTGACACAGCCTTAACAACAGCTGAGAAGCATCCACCTCATCAATGACTGATATGTAAAGTGGCAACATTGGCAAAATAATGACTGATATGTCAAATATTTTTACATTTTAACAATATTGGAAAACTATCAATTCAATAATTATATATAGATATATATACTATAGCACTACTTTGGAATGACAATGGAATGTAGTCATGAAATGGCAATAATAATTTGGAATGTAACAGCATTGTACAATTAGTTTTGTTATGGTAAAGGCAAAACCAAACTGCAAAATTTAACTGAATAACATGACATCTAAATAAATCAATAATCAAGTACCCCAATTGTGCAATTTATTGCATTAAGTCTCAAATGAAACATCTAAAACATTGCAATAATTTCAAAGTCTATGAGTTGTATAAATATTATCTGAACATTTTCTTGTCTTAAAATTGTTCATGTACAGTACTGTATGTAACCTGAAGACCCACAGCATAGAGATAAAACAACACAGGTTACCCAGCTTCATGTACCAGTTTCAACAACAACTCTGTAAACTCCTAAATGTAGAGAGATGAGGTTTTTCCCTTATGAACTTATTATTGAATCAACTCAACTCTGACTATACAACTAATTATGGTATATTTTCTTGTCAATATCTAGTGTATAAACCAGATTATCTTAAATCTTAAAAAAAAAAAAAAATCTTTTGTTAAAGTTGCAAAAGAAAATAAGTTCTACCATTTTCATTTTTGTCACCTGACTTTTCTTGGTAAAGTTTTATTTATAATTTATTGTACAACCAGATGATCCCAAGTACAACAAACAGCTGGAGAAAAAGACTACCTATAGTTATACAGTTTTATATATTTAACTATTAATTTTTGTAGTTCTTATAAATTTGTGAACATTAATGAGTCAGCGTCAGTGGTATAGAGGTCAACATCATCTCCGCAAGAAGTGACAGACGTTAATCCTAAGAATCAAAAATAAAACCTGGATATTGTGCGTCTGATAATGTACAGGTCATGAAATGATAGATATAAAATGAGAGAGCATAATGACTTAAAGCAAAAAATGAACAATTAGATGAGATATAAATGGGTGGCAGCTCATAACAAATGTTTCTGCAAAAGTTGAGAGAATAATGAGGAAAAAATAATGATACAGGTTTGGTAAAAATACCTTTAACCAAATTTGGCAACTAGTAGTGAAACCAAAAGTTTCTTCAAAGGGGAACTATGATAAGAGAAAAGGAAAAGTAAGAGACGTTACTGATCGCCCAAGAGGCTGGCGAGCAGATCAGTGGTGAAGAGGATAAAAGTAAAAAACTAAAAGTAATGGGAATAAGTTAACAATAATATAGGAAATGGTTTTGGGTACTTTTTCAACAGTGTATTTAACAGGGTCAAATTTCCAGTGTACTTGATGTAATTTGGTACACTGGCACTTAAGTGAGTGAATGTACATAAGTTAACTGTAGCAAGGAGGGAGGCAGGGAGGGAGAGAGAAAAATAAAGTGTACTGTAGAGCCTAATATCATAGACAATGTAACCAGTATAAAATATGTCACAATACATCCTAACTTCAATTTGTGTCCCATAACATTCTTTCTCTCTTCATTTGTATTCCCACATAGTGGAAAATGGCCTCAATATGTTTGTGCACTAATTACTCTTATAATGATTCATCTGAATAATTACAAAATCATTAATAATGTAGTCAAGGGTAGATCCAGGGGAGTCGTGCTCAAGTGAGTGGCTGTATTTTGACACAATATTTCAACAAGTAATCAAAATACTCATGGTGAATATCTGAATTATGAGAAAATGGCAGTTTCCATGGTCCTTGTGATATAAGACACTGTTTGCATGGCCCATAAACAGAAGACACATCGCATAGCCTGAAGTCTTAAAAATTACCACAAAATAAAGTGGAGGATTCAATTCCTTCCTGGTACAGTTCATTACAGTACACCCTTGAGTACTCTCAACAATAGACTGGGTGCACTACTGGCTCCCTCAGATATAACTTTAAACACTAACTCATGACAAAGTTAAAAATCCGAATTGTGTTATATTTTCAAATTGTTATAGATACCCTGGTAAGGACCCTACAACCAGTTTACTGCCATCTTACTAAACCATGAAAATATTCTCCAACTTCCTTACACACTGAAGGATAATTCAGATACAAATCATACACAATATACTGAGGATAACACTCCAGTATACTGTATCCATCGCATAAAAAGCATGTGAAGTTGGAAATACAAGAATAATCAGGAATTCCAATGGGCATGACTGTGTTCCCCTGGGTCTATCATTGCCCTTTTATCCCTAAGATACTGATGTACAGGGTAGCCCAGATGTCTAGCTCCAGTGGGCATTAACAATGTGTCAATAAATACTCAAAGTGCACATCATACAATTGTAGACCTATGTTGACTCTTTTGGAGGATGAGATATCGATATTACTGTAGTCGGAAATGAAAATGTTTAGGTCATTTACCATTGACTTATAATCGTTAGAATCTCTCAGTACTTGCCAATGTTTACACCTCATTTACAAGAAGCAACATTGGCCAACAGTTATCATGTATGTATTTTCAACATTTACAGACATAATGTTTAAAACCTTATGGGACCAAATGTCTGGGGCACCTAGTAGTTCCCAAGCACCAATATATAAAAAAGAGGCCACAACTTCAGTAACCAGTACTGGAGTTACGAAAAACAAACTTAATGAGGTAACTACATATTTCTAAGTAATAAGGTTCAGTTCCTTTACACTGAGGACACATTCATAATACCATTGGTCAATGACTCAGTTTATTTTAACACTGTCACTGATAGCTTGAGTAAGGTACATTTTGAAGAGCAATGGGTAATTTCATAAGTTCTTCTCATACTGATTTAAGCTATCAATGATAATGTTTCAAATACTCTGGCAAAGTTATGAGAGGCACACATGACAAACAGTCATCAGGACAAATCATTTTATGCCATTTGGACTTAAGAAAAAATAACTTGCACTCTCATCTACACCAATTCTTCCATCAAGTTTCAGCAACACTGTATCAGTCTATGAACTGTACACATATATATTTGCCCTTAAAATTCATTATATTTTATAAATGTTAAGTAAATATGAAACTGATCTTAAAACTACGATATTTTTGTCCCAATCACTATATTTTCTTAACTACTTGTCATAAGCTTCATTTTTTCGATTTTTTTTTAATTCGTTAATTATTTCCACGGTCTGTTCAGTCATAAATTAATCACTGTACAATGTCACCATTCACATGATCATAATTTAACTCAACATTTAAACTACCGTCAAACAATAATTGCAAATCTAACCATCGAGTTCGTATAAAAATAATAATTTTTGAAACTAGCTGTTCATAAGTCGCACTCCACAGTTCCACCACCGAGGTATCTGTGATTTCCAGCGTCATCACTCAAGACCAATTACACTATATAAAGCTAAAGGAAGATTCTTCTAATCACAACCTTTACTAACTACTGTAGCAGATGGATGCAGCAAGTGCATTATCAGTAAAGTTAATTATTTCAGTTTACAATAAGCTTTACTGTTTCTCAGCACAAGAAGAGTCGGTCACCTATTGGGCACACTGAAATATGTAATCACCAGCGATATTAACTGGTAAAAATAATGTCTGCTGCTAAGGAAGAAAAACCATGAAGGTATAAGTCCTCATCAACCAGCACAAAACTCAGTCTTCACAAATCACTCAACTTAGCATTCTTTCCCTTATTTTTTTATTATTATATAAAAGAAATACACAGAGGCACTTGAAAAATATGCAAACAAAAACAAGGTTTACTTTAAAATCAGACCAGACTTCATAGTTTTTTGCTAGGATCATAATTTTCAAATTTCCATTTTTGTCTTGACTCAGCCAAGTTGCAGTCCTCCATGACCAGCTTCTTCCTGTCCTGAGATATGGCAAGACACTTCTTGCTGCTGCCGTGTGTAATACGGCTTGTCTGCAAATAAAAGCTCAGATAATAGGGGGGATAAAATTTACTGTGAAACTTACTAACTAAATATAAGTCTTTTGACTTTTAGTGTTAACCTTGCAGTTCTGTTTTATATTAACTTGTCATTTCCACCACTTATCAGCTTATTAGCCATTCAAACAGTTGGTCTATTGTTTGTCACAACCTTCCTTGTTCAGTGTTAGTACAGCAGGAAACTGGAGTACTGTACAATGGTCAAATATTATACATTATACATTTGGGTAAACTAACAAAATTTGTATAATTTTGAGGCCTGGATATAAAAGAGAATATCTATAGACAAATTGATTCATAAGTCGAAATAAATTTCTTTATCTCCTCAAGTTTCATGATCCTGTCATACAGACAATTCAATATCTTCTACTACACGGATCAATTATGACATTCACCCTCTCTTAGTGCACCAAGCACAAGTACACATGACAACTACAGTACTACACTTTAAACTCACACACAAATGAATTTCTCCTCTCTGATGCTGGCCTGGATAGTTCCCCCATTTGCACTGAAATGATTCTAACAACAATTTTCCTGAAATCTATATTTTTTCCTCCATCACCTTTACTTCCTTTCATTAATGTCTCAGTCAACTTGAGAGGACTTCTTTTTAAACAATGTACTATAATCTCAACTTCATTCTCCCTTTTTTTTTTTACTTTTTTTTTTCATGTTTTTATCTCTCCCCCTCCTGTAATCCCTCAGTTGGACACCTAGCCACTGAACCATCCAACAGACCTGATTGTTGGCCAGCCACTAGACCAGGCCAACCCAAAGTCCAGTGGACCAAAGAGCAGAACAACAAACTAACAACCCTGGATCCTATGGACCAGCAGATCAGTCTTCCAGCCTGTCACACCTTCTCTAACATTAGCTCTCTTGTCAACAATGAGAACATAATCAATGCAACTGATATAAATGTGTGAACTTATTTTCTATGTGTACAAGATGATCTGTCATTCCATTATACTGTACTGTACAATGATCTTGAATAATATTGGTGTGCTCTCACCATTTTGAAGTCTCTGCACTTAAATTAATACAAGGGGTGTACAGTAAAATGAATATCTCTGTTACATAATACCTCAAAATACTGATGAATCACTCACCTCTGGACTGTACTCCCAGTATTGGTTGCCTTTAGACCCGTGGCAGGGATACAGAATGACGTCAGACCCAGCATAGTCCATACACGCTTCATCGCGGCGGATTTCTCCCTCCTTACTCAACATCCAATACTACCAAAAGTTAAAAATATTAGTAGGTGCCAACTGCTCTGTATTGATGTTTACCATTAACTTGAACAAATGTTTCTTAACTCATACAATTATTTCTTGAGCATGAAAATATTTAGAAATATCTGGATTTAAATCAAGTCAAAATTAATAGTCTACCCGGTACTCTCCCAAGTTACAAAATGTATCTTGGGCATAAAATTGTATTATAAGTATTTGGAGCTACATCAATTCCAAGTTTAATCAATTATAATAAGAAAGGCACCGGTATCTCTCACAACTATTATTTAAGTCTAACATTCCTAATATGAAGTAGACAAATTTATTATGTGTGTGAGTCATTTCCTCATAAGTAAGAATACTACTCACATCTCTGCACATTCCACTAGATACAAAGAGGAGCTGAATGCATGTTACTTAATAGGACATGCACTATACCTGTCACTGTTTTCCAGTTATGAATCTTGCAGTTCAAAATATTATATCAAGGCGAGTTTAGATAAAGTTGCATTCACGGTCATCATAAGGGAATTACTGTTTAATATTGATACCCGTTTGTTCCGGGATAGTAGGTGGAAGAATAAAAGGAAGTTACATTCTGGGACATCTTATTGATGCTAATTGAATCTTCTACTCTGAACTTGAACCTTAATTGAGTGATAAACAAAACATAGGGAAGCAAATTTTCTGGAACTTTGTCCTTTATATTTTACTTAAGTTTATCTTCTGTGCCACTGGTGAGACTGTTAATGGGTCGTGTCTCTGTTACACACTGGACAGGCACTGGATCTAGAGTGTATCTGATCCTGTGCTAGTGTTGGTCATTTTCTTATACAGATTCATAGGTTCAAGTACATTACATACAGTATATCCATCAAGGTTTTAACAGTTAAACTTAGGAAGAACCTGGTAGTAATCAGGAGATACTTCACAAGACTGACTGTGAGTTTTGGGGTTATATCTATGCTTCAGCCAGGACCAGTTACCAGTTTAGGCAAGTACCAGTAACCAGGACCAGGTACCAGTTGGTTTTGAAAGTCCTAGACACACACAAAATAAAATCTAATTTAAAAATTCCAAGTGTTGGTATATATAAAAGTTGAAATAATCTTCTTATGTAAATTGGCATATTCACTATTTCCACACTAATATGTTATAAAGGGACATGGATTTGATTACTTTTTTATACTGTCCAACTGTGTTTCTGAAATTTTCAACTCATATACAGTTGCCAATATATTGTTTCTAATTTCCCTTCAGGAAAATAGATTCCTTAACCTGCAATTACAATCATTGTTTTCTCTCAAACAGTTGATTGATTGACACTGCGAACTACAGTATTACCTAAAACAATACTTCATAATATTTTAATAAATTACTATATAAAATAACAACAAAACACAGTACTGTACCTACTTTAAAATGAGCAAAATTTCTAAAACCAATGACACAATCAGAATCTCTTACCTGGTTGCCCCCTTGACCATGGCAAGGCCAGAGCCCAACTGGCTTGTGGTTATCCTCCGGTTTGGCAGGAGAGTCGACACACTGACCCGCCCCCAGTTGTGGATCTGTTGCATGACACAGACAACACTAACTACTACTGCCACAACCACCATGCTGTAGGCAGGGCTCAGTAGGAGGCGAGTTAGGAGAACAGGGAAGGTACAGCAGCATAACTGCCAGATTCATTGAGGGTACAGTAACATAACTGCCAACAGTCAGTGAGGGTACACTAACATTACTGCCAACAGTCAGTGAGGTAACAGTAACATTACTGCCAACAGTCAGTGAGGGTACACTAACATTACTGCCAACAGTCAGTGAGGGTACAGTAACATTACTGCCAACAGTCAGTGAGGGTACAGTAACATTACTGCCAACAGTCAGTGATACAGTAATACTGCCAACCGTCAGTGAGGGGTATAGAAACATTACTGCCACGCAGTGTGCAACATTACTGCCAACAGTCAGTGAGGTACAGTAACATAACTGCCAACAGTCAGTGAGGTAACAGTAACATTACTGCCAACAGTCAATGAAGGTACAGCAACATTACTGACAGCAGTTAATCAGGGTACAGCAACACAACTGTCAACAGTTAACCAAGCTACAGCAACATAACTGCCGGCCCACATTCAATGACTAATGATGTTACTTTTGGGAATCTTTAACAAACACAATTGATAAGCACCATAAAGCAGCGTCAAGAAACCAAAGACAAACAAGCACTGACAAAGTCATAGAAACAATTAAAGAACAGGAACACTGTCAACCCTAAATCAGGATTACAGAAACAAGGAACCGAGGAAAGGCTAGAGACGTCATGACAACGTAACAACACTGAAGTACGGGGGACAGGAGAGGGGGTGGCTACAGTCGTAAGAGCAAGTTTGTCTATTGTTTGGAAAAATCAAGCTTTACTATCAAAACTTCTACATGGTTGCTAATGTTGTAAGAGAATAAGTTTATGTAATTTTTTTTTCATATTGTAGAAATGTTGATCTTGAATATTAATCATTGACTTGCAACTTTGTGATCTACAATAAATGTCAAGTGTATCTTATATAAAAGGTTCATTTGTGACTATGTATGCAAATTATAGATATGAACACTTGAATCTTAGCCCTTCCTGTCACGTTCTACACCCATCATGTATGACTCTCCTTTGTTACCATACTTTCCACTTCTGTACCTCTTGATCCACTCCATACAAGAGTTAAAGAGGAGTAATAATAATAATAATGGATACATACAACTTATTCCCTCATTACTTTGCTAAGAATATTTATATAATCTAAATTGAAAACATGAACATAAAGATTCAGAAAGTATTAAAGAATTATAAGATGATAAATATAGAGAATATGACCGAGACACAGAACTGAACACACAGGCCAGATGTCTCTCTCGTTGATGACACTAAGTCAATGGAATTTAAGAGTACCTGTACTGTATGATCAAATAAGGGAAGACTGTAGTGAAGAAATTTGGAGTACAATCTTTTAGTCCACAAAAGTAAAAAAGTGTTGCGACAGAGATGATGTGATAAGAAAGGTACTTCTGAACATAAAAAGAGTAAAAAAGATCTTAACACTCATAGATTTAGTACAAGCTAAATTTTGTACAATAGTTGTAATTCTTGGAGAGATTCACAGGAACATGTATATCAATTTTGTGGAATCAAACCCAAATTAAACTCGAGTTCCTTTCTTTTTAATGTGGGTTTGATGTCACAATACAGTATAAACAATTAATATATATATATATACGTATATATATATATATATATATATATATATATATATATATATATATATATGCTGAAAATTGTGTCTGTTAATAAATAACCAATTATATACAGAACAAAGTTAGAAACAGTGGTCTATACAAATTATACAAACAAACAAAAGACGAAAAGAGGGAGTCCAGATCTTTACACAACCTCACCTCTGGAAAATCAATAAGAGCAACACAAGCAAATTAATCCAGAGAAGCTCGAGGAGTATTAGAGGGGCATGCACGCATGTATACCAACAAAACAGCCAGCAAAGCAATATAGCACATGCAAACCTTCAGATGTTGTCTGCCATCATCTCATGTTCTCGTTCCTTGTGACTCGGTCTAAATGGGATCCTCTGACCGCTATCGGAGTCTTCGAGGGGACTAGGATCTACTACTGTACTGTACGGTAAATCTACTGCACGGCTAATGAGTTGCTCTACTGTGGCTAGTTTACCTGGTTACCCCCTTGCTTGTGACATGGGTAGAGGCCCACAGCTTTGTGCAAGTTAGCCCTGCGTGCAGGTGAGAGAAGGCAGGTAGACCCGCCTGCGCCCATGTTGCGAACCTGTTAGCATGGAGGACATAGCCCGGGGGCAGTCTTTAATCCCTACCAATTTAAATATCCTTTAAGAAAAATAATTCTTTGTTCCTTCTCAGTTTGAAATACTGTTACAGAATATATTTTCTTTCATCAGTTTAAAATCATTATGATAATTCTTTTTTAACTCCTTCCACTTTAGAAACACTGAAGACAACTAATGTTTAGTTGCTTGTGAACTTCAGTTCTGTTGCTATCCAAGATTCACATAAAAGAATTGCCAAATCTTTCTGAGTCTCAAAATATTTCATCTGATCATCATACTGTACTGTCCTCTGGAGAGATGAAGGTTGGTTATTGTGTATTATAGTGGAAAACAAGAAATCAAAGGTGATTGGTGCTCAAAAATAAATACAGAAATGGGCACAAGAAATCCAGAGATAAAAAACTGAGAGTCAAAAAAGAACCAAAGATAACTGCAGTCTACAGGGAAATACCCAAAGTGTAAACACCTTGATTTTCAATGCCGAATATTTTTTTTACAGTAACAAACGTTTAGTGTACTACAAAGCCTTTATGTGGTACAGACCGTTCATTAATCCCTGTCACATACAAATAAAGTAATTTTATTTATTAATATTAACAGTACAACCTTCTATGATTACATTCACTATACTTATGAACAGTGAAGGCAAAGACTGAGATGATGCTCTTGGTCACCACCAGTGTTGTCCCCAACACGGGGGTGGGACATGGGTAAAGTTAACACCATATTTTTTCTTTAGTTTAATATACTGTATTTAAGGGGTGATATATCTTATTTATCAAATAAACTAAAGTTGTTTTAAATTTCCAAAACTTAAATTTTGACATGAAAGTGCAGGAAGCAGATTGACTTGCACTTTATGTAGTGTGGCCTCACTGATAACTGGAAGGAAGAACTTCTAAGGGCATCACACCCCAGGACAAAAGTTGGATATTTTTGTACATGATTTTTCAATGGGGTTGGATAAAACTATACAGTACAGTAGATTACTTCACAAAGAACATAAGATAGAATTTTTAGCCATTCTTTCTATTTTCTCGATTCACCAAACTATTGAGGGTGTGGCCAGATACAGGTACATTGTCCACCTCCACCTGGTGAGAGGCTGAGGTTCATTGCTGACTCACTCACTGTACACATGCCTCAAGTCGCACTTGATAATTGGGAAATTATCATCAGTAATGCTTGAATAATGTCTAATGTTGAATTTATATAACTGCTGCTTCTGCCAACAGGTTATCACAAAGACGAATATTGAAGAGTGAAGGGCTTGAGCTCGTCATAAATGTGTGCAAGTTTTACTGAAAAAATTAGTGATACTTCAACACTGTAAATTTAAATTCTGCATTGATAATCTTAGATGTCGTAATGACATAGTTCTCAAGTACATAAAAGTATTTAAAATATACAATCAACTACATTTTTACCTTTGAGAAATATACAATTTACATTTAGTTAATGGTTAAGCCTTATAAAGATCAACAACTATTCTTGTCATTTTGTCTAAGAAGTGAATGTCACCTTTGAACAGGAAGGAACAAACAGTACCTCAAGTTTATTTCAACACATTCAATCAATACAAACCTATCTTCCTCTTTGGTGTTTTTTTGCCTATGTTAAAATTTACAGTATAGAGAAAGATAATCCTTTAAAAACTGTATATAAACAATGGAACATGTACAGAAATACATGAGTCAGTTATCAACACAATCACTATCAGTTATACAGAAATGTGGAGTAATGTGGATAATTAATTGATAAGAAAAACAAGAAATTACTAAATGTAAAATATGTTTTTCAGTGAAGGAATCCCAACAAAAAAGAAAGAATAAAAGATTGAAGAGAAAATGTCTTTGTGATAAATTTCAATTATTCAGAGAAATAAAGATTAAGGAGGTGGTGGTGCACTACAAACCCACTGGTGTTAGAAAGCCAATTTGTCAGCCCATAACCACACCAAAGTCAGCAGTCACATGCAACATCATCTGCAGCACAACTTGAGTCATGGGTTGATTCTTGTTTCAGGTCATTTTTAACTGCCTAGGTTATGTGCACCGCTGTGACCTGAATTGAGCTTATTAACACAAAGTTCTCTGTTGAGGAAAACTAGTTCTTGTGGATAGTGCTGTATAACCCAGTCAGTTAAAGTACCTAAACCAAAAAACAATAAGTCATTGATAAATTTTTGTTCCTACTGGTTCTCCATCAATAGTGTTACTGTACCTAAGGGCCTAAACTCTGAAATGGTAATGTTCCTAATTTCATAGAAGATATTAATATAAATCTGATGAAAAGAAGGAACAGAAAAATAGCACTGAAGAAAGAGTTAAACAACAGTAATGAAGTCATATACAGATTGATGGTGGTAATTATATCTTCTCCCCATGGACAAGGGACCTGTGAAACTCATACTCATCAAAATTCTAACTTCAGCAACAATAACCATGACCTTTGATCCAATAACTATGGGGCAAGTGTCAGGATACTTAAATCAAAGTTTGAGGCAGACACACAGTGCCTAATCATTATAGGCTAAGGCCATACTGACAAGCGAGGTTTTGTTTAACTTTACAAAAACCACAACCACTTCACATTTCCCCACTGTCAGGCAATGTTCATCCTCTATGGGAGAGAAGAGAGCACACTTATGACTATAAGAATTTCTGAGTGTTTTGTGTTCTATTTCACTGAAACCTACAAAATTATTTTGAGCCACAAGACAATATCTGAAGACAATGCAAAGTTTTATTTTAAGTTGGTTGTGAAGAGGCCATTACATTCAGCTAACAAGATTTATAAGAACTTTTTAAAAACCAATGTACTGTAAGTTGATAGTGCAAAGTGACAGTGTCTGCACGTACACTACAATAACCCACAGCACAGGAACTCCATTAACTACACCTGTCTGGTCTCTTCCTGTGCTTTTTATTTGTTATGAAAAATCAGTAAATATGAAAAGAAAAAAAGGAGCTGGGTATCACAATTCACCAATCTCTGAAAGCAGCAACAATACAAAATGGGAGGAACAGTTAAAGAAGCCAGGCTCAAGGAATCATCAAATGCACCAATGAACACAAAGACATAAAATCACTCTACTATACACACCCCTTGTATGTACCCAGTTGCACTACTGTAAACATACAACCATGAAAACCATGTCCATGGAAACACATTACCTCACTTGAAAAACAGTTCAAAACCTTGAATATCCAGATGGGCTGAAAGCATTAGGACTAATAATTCTTTAAACAGGACATGGCAAAGCATCTCAAAAGACATTTAAAATCAAGAACAAGATTGAAAATAAACCAGACCAATTTCATAACACTGTCTAATGTTACACAAACAAGAAGCCACAATTTCAAGCTTGACAAATCATCACTCAAGATGGTCTCTCTGTTGATGCTGTGGAAGCAAGATCAATGCTGATCATAAATTATGATTAGATTCAGTGAACTGGAATAAAGGAGGAGGACTAAATAAGCCACAAGTTGCATTTACTGGTTGGGCAGCAGCCAAATATTGCAGTATTGCAGACATTAAGTAAACAGAACAAAAGAAAGTCAGTATCAGCTAATGTGAGCTGCTACAAGTACCAGTAGCTCAATGCAAAATATTACCACGATTAATCAGAATGTGAAAGTTTGTGAGCTCTGAATACTGGCGACACAAGGTATCTCTGCAATCAGTCATATCTAAACTGTACAGTATTAGATAATTTTCAAGGAACAGCAGGCCAAAAACCTAATTTTTGCAAGAAACAATTTTTTCTTCTATAAAATTAATAAAAATGTGAATATTCAAATGTATGGACTGTCAAAATTTAACACTCAGTAAAACTCTGTTTCACCATCACCAACTGCAACTGATGTGCTTCTTTTAATGGTGAGTGTGCCAGGGCTACAGTACAAAGAGAAACCCAATCTTACAATCTGGTCAGGAATTGAAATCAGGACCCTTCACTTGAGGCAAATGCTCTACAACAATAAAAAACAAAAAAAAAACAGAGACCATCTATTCCATATATTATATTCAGTAAAGTACTGTATTGTAACTTTTCTCTTTAACAACCTTACCAAACATGTTCTACCCTGGTGTTTCCCTTTTACAACAAGACCCTGCTATCCATCATCCAATCCAACATCAACCATCACCTCTCAACACCACACTCTTGGTTCATGCACCCAACCCCTTCACTACAGAGATGATTATATGCAACACCAAGAGACCCCACACAAGGGATTAGAATATTGTATCTTAGATGTGACCTCAACTTCTGACCAGAAAAACACCATCTCTGAGAAGTAATTGTAACACCTACTATGTTTAAAATCAAACCTTCCAGCACTGTAAGACTGATAAATTCCAGCATAATAAGTGCAAATTCCTACAGGGTGATGTCTCCTAGGCAACTTAAGAAGGAATAAGAATGGGTACTTCACACCCAGATACAATTTTAACTTCAGAAGTATTGTGTTGTTAACAGTCAATGATTTATGCAGAAATTACAACCTTTCACACACAGGACTCAGTAGCAGGTTCACCATTACCACTACAGTACAATAAAACATTTCACTACAGCCAGAGTTGATGTTGGTGATGGTATGATGTAGTACACAGTAAAGTATAAAATTTGCTCATTATATAGCAAGAGGGAAAGTTTTACAATGTGTGGATAGAGAGCTTGAAGGGTACAGTGAAGGAGATGATAAAAGAGAAATGAAGGCAAAAGTAATGCTTATAAAGGTTACTACCACATCTGGATACTCTACACAATACACAATTCTTGTAATTTCTAATGGCACAGGTAGTGTATTTTAAAGAAATCTTATGCAGTTATATTCTAACTTAAGATGTTCATAAAACTGTCCAAACTTTGTTATTAACTTATATATTATCACAGGAATTGTGAGAACCAAAGGAGCCAAAATTGACCATTCCAAATCTATTATGTTGTGGCTGCAATACAGTGTCTGTCATATTTACGTCCACTCTATACAAACACAGTACTGTACACTCCAATTATTTACATATAAAATACAAACATGTATATATTTAACAAAATGAAAAAGGCATAAATCATAAATTCATTATGAATTTTGTATCAATAATCGTTATAACCACTTTTATGTCAGATTCAAGCTACAGTAATATTTAAGTAATTTTCAAGAAAAGGATTAAAAATTACCTTTACTAAAATGTAGTTCTCTACAAAATACAAGACCAATAATAGTTTTGCCACCAATAAATATATTTGTGAGTGTGTGTGTACATACTTTGTCAAAGTGCATGTGCTTGTGTGTGTGTACTATTAATCATGAGGTTATAATAGTAAATACTGTACACATAAGCTCTGTACATACAACAATGCATGTGATGATAATGAACAATATCAACACAGACAACTTTTATTCAGTACTTTTAGGTAAACATAGAGTTTTTGAAATTATCTTTATGTTGTGTTGTACTGTACAGTACAGTACAGTACAGTGCAGTGCAGTTTTTCTAAAACCAGTTTTTGTGATATAGTCCAGAATGCGACGTCTAGCTTTATACCTAGGTGTGTAAATGCCCAGCATTAACTAGCCAGGCCAACATACAGCCAATTAAAATATCTAATAATTACTTAAATACGTAGTATTAGGAGGACACGTCGCTACCTGGCATTCAACTGCACATAACTTTAACTATACAGTACAATACTAAAAAAAAAATTACATATATTTCCATATCTATAACATTTTCATAATAACAAATTGCTGTACTAAAAGTTTTTGCAATTTTAAAAACATATTTTAACTTTCTTCACTTTATTCTTATTGGTTTATAACTCTTGTTCTCAACAATAAATTTTGTCTTATAAAAATTTTCATTGTTTTAAACTAACAGTTTATTTTCTGTACTCTAACTGTATCATGTTTTATATTAAAACATTGTTTCCTCTGTTTTATAACCTGTACTGTACTGTACTGTACTGTACTGTACTGTACTGTACTGCACTGTGCTGCACTGTACTGTAGTGTACTGTACTGTTATTTTAAATTAACACTCTATCGTATACATATTGTACATTTGCAATTTCTGCTTTTAGCATGAATTGTTAGAATTCTTTTGCTTTTAAAGTACTGTAAGTATGTGTATATTTGTTTTTAACTAGAACATTATGCACTAATTATTATTGTTTTAAAGCACAATACTTTATACTGTTTATGTGTATATTTGTTAAGCAATTCTGGCTTTAACTAGAAATAAGTTTCATGAATCTTGTTGTTTTATACTAAAAAAAAGGATAATGCAACTTACCTCTCCTGAAGCCACTGCGTCACCTGGGACGAAGAGCTCAGGATAGATTTCTAAGTACCACTTGAAGGACTTGCAGCTGAGTCCATCCCTCAATTTCTTCCTGTCACTGACGTCCCCAAAGTCTCCCTGGAATATATAGTACTGTAAATAAAAGATCCCTGGAAGATTTAATAAAGGTCAATAACAATACATCCAGAGAAGTATCTTGGTAAGGAAAGAAAGCTGTACTTTGTACAATATTTGTAGACTTTGAGATGACTTCTGACAGCGTCCTTGTGAAGTAGTGCAGTAGGCAGTGGGGAAGCTATAGGTTAAGGAATGTCTAAGGCATTGTCTGAGGCTCAAGAGCCTCAGTGAGAAAAATGGTGATGAATCTAAAGTGTATGTAAAGGTCTAACTTGAGCTGCCTTCTATTTATCAAGGTGCTAATATTCTAGGACTGGTCTACCTTGGGAGTTGCTGTATGCAGATGAAGTAGTGTTGATACTGTACAGCAACAGATACTGTGGTCGTGAAGAGGCAGTAGATAAATTTAAGAAATGGAAGGATGGCGTGGGTGAAAGACCCAAGATGGAATGTGGAAATTGCCATGTGTTGTCAGTATGAAGGGTGTTGGCAGTACAGTAATTCAATAATATGCAGAGATATGTCAAAGGTGGGTGGGTACATACAGTGGTGTCAATGGTAGACAGGAGGATGTTGCTAACTTTAAATGTTTTGAAAGTGCAGGTACTTATGTGGCCTTAACAACACTGGAAGAGCTTTACATTAGGGATGCTGTATGTCTCTGGACTGTTGACGAGTTCTGCTACCTGGGTGACATGATCAGTGCTGGAGGTGGTGAAGCTAGCTCGGGTGCAAGAGTCAAAATAGTTGGGTCTTTCATAATACTAATTTTTCTTGTCATTAATGGATCTTGTGATTATGAATGAACTTAATAATCTAATCAGTCATTCAATAAATACCAATATCACATTACCAGATCATATCCAATCCGCTCATAGTAATATTTCTTGTATTCATCCAGCCAGACTTCTGCTAGACGGATGGAGTTTCTCTTTAAAACGTTGACCCCGGACCGCCACTTGTATAGATCTTTTCCTGAAGATGTGGCCAACATGTGAACACGGGACAATCTCCAGGGTACCGCCACACATCCACGTCTATTGAACAGGCATGATATTAATAACGTATTATGATGTACCGTATATCTGGTAAATGTCTAGGGTAGTACTGTACTCCAGTCCATTACTTGACATTTTTGAGGGGAGAAGAATGTGAATGTTTGTAAATCATCTTTTAAAACTGGATAAATTTACCAAACAAATATAACCAATAAATCTTAGCAAAATTAGGCTTGGTTTGCTTGCTTCATTAACCATTTAAATCCAAAGTAGTGAAGACCAGAGCCGCAAAGACAGAAAAAAGCTGTGATAATATCCTTAACAATCATTATGTATCCAATAACTATCTAAAACTATAAAATATTGATGTGTGTAAATGATCTACCTGATTTACATAACAAAACAGTTTCACCCATTTACACCACAAAATAAAAAGCCAGCCTAGTCATTATTATCATTCTTCACTGACAAATTATTACCAATTTCTAGTCATTCTTAAATCAAGTACAGGTACAACATTCTTATATCTACAACCTTAAAGTACAGTATCTTATTGACTCTTTTCTCAAACATTAGATTCATCGCAAACCTTGACAAATGACTTTATCAGGAGCGTAATATAATAAATTTAAAATCACATTTCACCATTACCAAGAAGGAATATTTACCTTAAAGGACAACTCCAGGTTCTCTCCTCCCCAGATATCAAATCCTGAATCATAGGTAAAGCCGTCTTTCAAAGAAGGCCTTGTCGATGGAGAACAGCCCCCCAGCCATGGTGGGTGACCGTACAGGCTCGGCAGGGTGTTGATGTCTGCTGCGTCTTTTGCTGGGTATGGCGTGCCAATTGAACTAGACAGCCATGGAGTAAAAGACAGATTAACCAAGCGCTTTGGTGATAACTAGTGCTTTAAATTAAGACATTCACTTTATGAACTATTAATTTTACTTGAAAATATTCTCCATTCTGGGTGAACTGAGGGTGAAGTACGTATAATTTTACAAACTGAGAATGTACTGTAATAAACTGTACTATTAAATAGTGGAATACAAAATGACATTCTAACACCAAATTCCATTGTCTAGTTAGATCCAAGATGGTCATTCATGAAACAAAAACCTGGTGAGTAATTCAGCTTACTATTATGGGTCAGAGAACAGCATTTGGTTTTAATCATTACTAAACAATAAATACTAATGTAAAACTCTAAGCAGACACTTGAAGTAAATTCCTTTTTATGGGCTTCAGTCCTAATAGGATTCTTCTACACAACCACAGGCTCCTTTCTGACACAACCACAGGCTCCTTTCTGACACAACCACAGGCTTTGTCTGAGTCATATTGGGTGTCAGTTATCAGTGACCCTATTTCCACTTTCTATACAGGTACTGAAGTCCCCAAATCCCAATGATTTAATTTTTCATTCAAACTTACTTTACCGAATTAATTCTTGCAAAGTCGCATCTCACGTCACCACACAATCTACTCTAATGATAAACATATACAGTATCTCCTCTAAATTATTATCAGAATTAACTGAATTTTGTCACATCCTCATTTCAAAAGTAAAGTAAAATACCTTTCACATCTTCTCTGTTGTATCTTCTAACTCCATATTCTTTTCTCATCCTACAAGTACATCATCTCTCAATTTACCTGCTTATTTATTATCCATTTCCTTCTCACTTACTTTAAATAATACAGTATATATCTTTCTTTAGCACATACAGTACAGATACCTTGTTTACAACATTGAAGAAAAGCTTTTCATATGAACGAAACTCATAAGCGATTAATTGACTATGGCAAGATCAGTGCTGTCCTGTATTCAACACAAATGGCAAAGATCGGCTTCTTCCCCCTTCCTCCTATACTAGCCATGAAGATTGGAGTCCATTTGTTATTGTTTAAATGTAACTGTATTTCTGTACCCCAACAATTAAAGTTTTTAAACACCTACTCTCAAGTTAGAGAGATACATGGGTCTTCTTCCACTAACACTAGGCCATGACCCCACTGAGCTGGTGTATTTGAGGTCCTACTGATTAAGACTGGAGCCCATATTTATCCAGGCAGTTACATGTATGACCCAATCTTGGAAGTAGTATTGTACAGTCAAGGAATCTATGTGTCAAAATTCTGGCCATTAAGTCATTAGCTATATTTGTATATTAATTCAGTGTTTTGACATGCACTTATCTTGACACTTACTATTCAACATGAAATATATACTCATTACTTTGGAAAATTTAATTAACTTTGCTCCTACAGATATAAATAATGATGTGAACTACAATGAAAAATCCAAATTATGTTAAATACTGTAAAATTAAAATAGTAGAGTAGAGAAAATTATGAAAACTGAGATAGTGAGACAATTCAGTACAGTATACAAGTATCCTAACTACATAGTGAGATTTGCAGTAACAAAATGAAAATAAATGATGTATAGGTATAAGCAATGTTAAATAGTTACTGTATAGTGAATAATATTACTATCATGAAGCATTAAGGAAGTGAAATAGCTCAATTTGTCAAAATGGTGACGCTATGGGTGATTCAAATAAATAATTATGTTTATGAAATGTCGCTTTTCTCTTTTTCATGTAAGAATGTTTTTTGTAACAAGCTGTTGTATTGTTCATCTTAAAAAAGCAAAGCAAAGGAAAAGGAGTGATCATGCCACATCAGGAAACAGCAACAGGCAGGCAAGTGTACATGCAAGACACAGTGCATATACAGCTCCACTAATAAAAACAAGTGGAATACCATAAAGATTACTATACACACAAAACATGCACATACACGATATAATGATTATGGTTTATACGTTTCACAGACGTAAGGAACATACAAGTGCTTATTTGTTTCTATAAGGGTATGTAAACATTGGGCAGGGTGGCATGTGCTCCTAGGACCTTACACAGTTCAGACACCTATGTTTTTACTAGAGCACAATTTAAATTAAAAACTAAAAATTATGCAACATAATAACAAAGTGGTTTAATCCAAATAAGAAAATAAATCTATTGTACTGTATACACAAACATACCGTAAAAATAAAACACATTTATATCTACGCATAAAAGAAGAGTGAAAGTGAAGTCTGTTCATGAAAGGTCACCAGTAAAGTTATTGAAAATTGAGTCACTTACAGTACTGTTACTTTTAATGGCCAATAAAGTTAACCTTAAAAACAAGTGAATTTATCCTTATAGGAACAGACCCACTGATTAAAAAAATAAAAAATAAAAAATCCTATTTAATACATCCAGGACTATCTATTGTTATCATACCCATGAACTAACAGCCACAACTAAAATAAGATGTGCACTCATGAATAAATTAATAATAAATACTGTATGCAAATAATTATCTAATGGGTTTCATTCACTAACAGAGACCAAGTCAAACATCTTTCTTATACTTGAGCCCAAAACCAAGAACCTATTTTGAGATCAGAGAAGCACATGGACAGAAACAGTTAATTTGTCCTAAAGATTTGTCCAAAGCACATCTTGTATTTAATATATTGGGTAATAATTTTCCCCAGCATGTCTCAAGATGGTAGTTCTGGTCCTTGGGCATGTCTATGAGAGCCATGCAGAGATGGGGGAGTGACCTCTCAGCTACCTGTAGGTTCCAGTCAAACCCCCCAACTGCTACGAAGGAGGAATATGTATACTCAAGAGTGTCATCACTGATGACATCTATGACAGGTGTGACTGCTGATGTCCAGTTACGCCCGATACGGTCTAAAAGCGGCTCCAACCAACCTACGACAAGAAGGTAAGCTAGGAGAAGGTGTTGATACACACCAGCCTTAGTAGGCACTAAATACTGTACTGTACTTCACTATTCCATCACCAATGCTCCATAACATACTTAACAATTCACATAGCATTAAAGAAACCTTTCACGTTTGAGAAAAGACAGTAACTTCTTCCCTACAGTACATCTGGGGTGCAGGAGGAACTCCCATTAAACTATATCTGCTGGAACTTAATTCTAAAGACAATTAGTACAATGGTGCATCAATGATGACCATTATGGGAAAGTTAACAAAATAATTCATAAGAGTCTTACCAACTAATACAGAAAAATGAGGTCATCCTTAGCCTACAGTACAGTACAGTACAGTACAGTACAGTACAGTACTAATACAGTACAGTACAGTACAGTCTCTCCTCGACTTATTTACATATTTGACTTTACATAACCCGACATACAACGGCCATGGTCGTAATAAAATATTTTTCACATTACGATTTTCGAGTCCCAAAGTTTAGGATCGGACTGTGTGCTGACAAAATATTCATTTGTAATTCCCTTTAAAATGGCTGGCAAGCGTAAAAGTGAGAGTTCTCGTGGTGCTGAGAAGAAAAGAGACACCCATTTTCGAATTTCTATGTATTATTTTTGTTTTTTCGACTTCATTTACCTTGGTCAGTTGACGGAACCCCGTCAGAAGTCGAGGAGAGAGACTGTAAATGGGTATTTTTGCAACAAAGCAGCCTGTCTGCCATATAAAAATGGTGGATTTACCCTAAAATCCCATTTTATGACTAACCTGCACAAAGTAACTTGCATATTATAACACTATGTCCAGCAGTTGTGAGCTGAAATAACTCCTTAAATACTAATGGCTGGGACTAATTCATTAATTTAGTTATCCTTTCCTGTCACAACTCAGTCCTAATACAGTGAAGTAAAAACTGCCATATAAGGTATGAAAAAAGTGTGATATATCAGCACGTGTGTAACTCACAAGTCAAGTGGGGTGGCCATACTGAATTCCAAGCTTCAATCTCCCAGTTCCAGTAACTTGCATACCATCCAGTGGGAGTAGTAAGGCTTTCTAAGTCATGATCTAGGTCAAAAAGTGGGATTTCAGGAACAACTTTTCGCTTTTGACCTGATGCCCTCCCTGTGTGACTCATTTTGAATCTAGAGAGACATTGGGAGGAGGTGACAAAGAACTCTGTGGCAGCAAGTCCAGTGTGTTCCCCTAACTATAATACAAGAAGTCCTGTATAGTATCTCCTGTGCTCAGTATACAAGAGTACAGTACTGTACATGTTATAATAAAGAGTCACTGTTTGTGATATTTGACAGTCTCCTTGATACAGCCTGGGGCAAAACTTCAGTTTAATGGCAAATGCATTTCTCAAAAATCCAATGAAATTCTTTTTTTTAAATATGGAATTTTGGGGAGTGGACAATGTCTAGCATAAGGCTGAGGCTGTATACAGAACTGCCCTGCAGCTAAATAAAAAAGGACCATCCTGATGTGTCCTGATGTCATGAAATGATAAATCATATCATTACATGTTATGAGATGATATGTACTGACGTCATGACATGTCATGACACATCAGGATGGCCATTTTAATTCGGTGCAGACAGTTCTGTATACAGTATAGTCTTGGCCAGTGGAAGTGGTTATATACAGGACAGTCCTGATATGTGAAGACATGACGGCTTCAGAAGCTGCTAAGTACGACAGTTCTCGGGCAAGTTTTGACTGCATTTCAGGCCCAATTGAGGTTTTACAGTATTTATAATTGAAAGGCATTAATTTTCTTTAAGCAAATTATTGGGAACACTTTTAAGTGACTTTAATGCAAATATATTGTCATTAGAATACTTTTCATACATATGAATAACATTTCATTTGCCTTTAGTTTACTTTACAACCACTGAGAGTGGCCAGCATGGATTCTCAAGCCTCACCAATTATTTGGACAGGGGACTCTGAAACTTTCCTTGTTGATAAAGTGAGGGAATGCAGTGTGTTGTGGGATTTGCACCAATTGTATCTCAAGAAAAGAGCATACTCTAATTTGTACAT